GGTCCCCTGTCGTTGGGTATGTGGGTTATTTCCATTTTTTCCCCTGTCATAAATGACATTGTCCTGGATCACCGTGACCTAAGGACTGAATTTGTGGGAGCCCAGAGTGTCAGAATCAGAAAGACCCTTAGGCCACCAAGCTGGGTTTTTCATTTTGCAAATGGGATAAAGGAAAGGCAGAGAAGGGGGAAGAGGATTTGCCCACAGTCTTGGAGGCTGTGGGCACCTGACCCAGAGCTGCTGCCTGCTCTTCTGTTGGGGCTGGGGTGGGGATGTGGGTGGGGGCAGGTGCCATCGTGGGAAAAAAGGGATCCTGTGGGGGGTGTGGGGGGATGGTGAGAACACAGGGCTGGATGGAGGACTGGCTGGAGGTGACAGGGGAGACACAGGCTTGGGGTAGAGAGCGCTCTGCTGCCAGGATGTCCTTGCAGAGGAATTGGCTTGGATGGGACAGCCCCAAAGGGAATGTTTCTTGCCCTCTGAGCTGCCTTGTAGGTGGATGGGGGTGGGGATAAGTTCAGTTGGTGAGAGGCTTGAGTGTGTAAGAGTTGGTGCTAGTGGGAGGGTGTGTGTCTGGGCTTGGTGGATTTTTTCAGGGAGCCCGTGGTGTTCAGCTAGGCCTTCTCTGGCCTCCCCGTTCTACTCCTCCCCAGGCCTCTGCTCTCTGGACTTGGGCCCTGCGGTCCGTTCCCCAGCAGGTGCAGTCCTTATGCCCCTCATCTCCAGCCACAGCGGGTGTGGGGCTGCTGGCTTCCTGGCCAGGGCAGCTGTGGCCGGGCGGGGGTGGGGACTGAGGCGTCCCCCTCCTGGTCCAGGCTCCCCATTGTGCAGCCCCCTTGGTTGTCTTGCTGCCTGGAGCCTGGCCCCGGCCCACATTCCTGCGGTGACGCTCTGGGTCTCCGGGGTGGATCTGGTGAGCGTGAGGGGCACTGAGTTCTCACAGGACTGAGGGCTTTTTGGGGACGGAGGCTGCAGGGATCCAGAGGGATGTGCTGAGGCGCCCTCCCTCCCAGCTTCAAGGAGCTAGTCATTAAGTCGCTGTGTGTCTTTGGCCAGATCACTTTACCTCTCTGAATGCCGTGTGGCAGACTAACCCTGCCTCTCTCTTCTCAGCAGATGTGGTAAGCAAGGCTTTCCCCTCTCTGTGCCTCAGCATCTACATTGGTAAGAGGGGAGAGTTAAAATCTTTGATCCCTCAAGTTGCAGTCTGAGGTGGGAAATGCAGGCCGTGGGATAGACAAAGCCTTTTGCAGCTCCGACTGTGTGCATGCATGATCTTACGTGATTCTCACAACTGCTCTACGAAGTATCATTATTGACCTCATTTAACCAGACAGAGGCTCAGAGAGGTTAAGTAACAAATACAAAGTCACCCAGTGAGAAAGCAGAGCTGGATTTGAGTCCAAGACTGTCAGAACCTAAAGGTGGGTCCTCAACCCTTACTCATGTCACCTCCGGTCACCGGGAGAGTGGGGCCTGAGTCTGGCTAATTAGGGGAAGGAAGCTCGGGCAGAACTAATTACACTTGATTTTATTCTTGGCTTTTGCAACACGATTAGCACGGCACAGGGGTGCCGGGCTCCTGGCCCCCAGCCAGCTGACCTAATTTGTGTGCCTGTCTGTTAACTTGCCCTTTCTCCCCCGTCATCCAGCCTTTCTCTTTTTGCCTGTCTGCACACTCCCCTGCTGTGTGGCCTTAACAATGCCACTTAACCTCTCTGGGCATTCAGCGTCTCATCTACTGCATGGGTGTAGTCACCGTCATGAGGAGGTTGAGGCTTACATGAGACAAAGACTTGGAAATAATAATAGAAATTTTAACACAAACTAACAGTCATCACAGCTACATTGACCAATTCATTTTTTGCTCGGCATTGGGTCCTGTGCTCAGCCCCTTCCCACAGCAGTGTTAGGAGCTGCACAGTCTTATCATCTCTATTTTACAGATGAGAAAACCAGGGTGCTGAGATTAAGTGGTTTGCCTGACAGCCAATGGGTAGAAAAAGAGGGACTGGTTCCTTCTGCTTTGCCTCGGTGCTGACCTGTTTCTCTAGGAAGGCGCCTGGTGGGGTAGGGGCCGGGCACGAGAGGCCCCAGACTCTGGAGTGGGCTCTGAGGGAGGATGGGGTGGGAGGGAGGTATGTGTCCCCTGCACTCAGTGTGAGTGATGAGCAGGAGGGCAGAGGTAGCCGTGGAAGGGAGGAGACTTAGCTGACATCCAGCTCATTTAGACCCTCACCCATCACAGCCCTGACCGGGTGCTCCTGGGACAGAGGGGGCTGGGCAACCTGGGAGGTGACATCTCCTTGCCCCTGGCCCAGGGGAGCCTCCCCAGCAGCTGCACTAAAACTCTAGGAGAGGATCGGTGGGAGTGGTGTGGAGTGAGGGGGCATGTGGGTCACTGCTGGGCCTGGTCCCTTCTGGGCTGGGGGCCTGAGGTGCCTCTGTGGAGTGAGGCTATGGCTTATTTCAAAAGGGTGTGGTGACAAGGGGACTGTGAGGAGAAATGGAAGTGGGACGTCAGTCCATTAGGAAGGTTGCCACGTTTCATCCCGACGTGTGTGTGCACCTGGAAGGAAAGTGCATGTGCGCGCGTGTGTGTGTGGAAGGAACTGGATGCAGGTATTGTGGGCCTGTTCATGGCATGTGAGGCGGGGTGTAGTCTGCTGGGGTGGCTGCAGGGAGGGACAATAGGCCACACACGTGTGGAGCAGGGTGTTGGGAGCACTCCGTGTGTTGGGTCCTGTGCTCAGCCCCTTGTCCCAGCAATGCTATGAGCTGCACAGTCTTACCGTCATGTGCTGGTGCGTGGGTGTGGATGTTGTGCGGGTGTGGACGGCTGTGGGCGTTGCTGAGCTGATGTCGTGCAGGGGGTGAGGGGCAGCGGCAGGGCACAGATGTATGAATTGAGCCCTGGATGAGCAGTGGGTCTGAGGGTGGCCCAGGAATGTCCAGGACAAGGGTTTCAGAGGCAGAGGACCCGTGCTCACGTTTGGATTCTAACCTCTGCCTCAGTTCCTGCATCTGTGGAATGGGGATGATAAAACCCTGGGCAGTTGTGATGCTTGAAGGAGGCTGCGCAGGTGACGTGCTCCCAGCGCCTTGCCTGGGGCTGGCCCTCAGCAGCAGTGGGCAGAGGTCTCTAGAGGGCCTTGGGAATGCTCGGCTGCTCTCCTGGGACCTGATGCTCAGGCCTTCAGGCGCCGTTGGGGGAGCCACTGCTGAGTGTCCCCTCCCGAGATTGGTGGTGGCCAGAAGCCGAAGGTTCTGCGCTTCCGCCGGGCACATTCGCTGTGTGTGGAGGGTGTGTGGGGTGCAGCCTAGAGGGAAGGTCATACCCAAGTTGTGAGGCTCATGTCTGAGTCAAAGGATGCACCTGCCAGGGGCGATACCTAGGAGTGATGTGTGTTTAGAGAACATGCATGTTCATGGCGGTGGGTCCGTGTTGTGGGCTTTGGTGAGCTGAGTGTGGCAGGTGGGGTCAGGAGAGTTTGCTGAGGTTTGTCGGGGCATCCATGGGGTATGTGGTGAGGAGAGGGGTGTGTGTGTGTCTGTGAGTACCCTGGGGACAGGTGTGTGCAGCTAGAGGTGAGGTAGATGGGTGTGTGCTGGTGTGGATCAGGCTGAATTGCCTATAGGCTGTGGTGAGTATACAGCTTGTGGTGGGTAAACATTATACTTAATTGTGTGTGTGTGTGTGTGTGTGTGTGTGTGTGTGTGTGTTCGCATGCACATGAGTTAGCATGTGCTCGGGGTTTTGGAGGCCTCCTATCAGGCATGGGGGAGAGTTGAGTTGTGTTTACCTGGAGGGGGCACAGTGAGGGTCAAGGAGAGGCTGGCAGGGTCCTGGGGCTTTTGGATTCAGTTCTCCTTTAAGGGAATGGCATAGATAATGATGCTCATTATGCATGGATTATGCAAATACAGAGGTTGTTTGGGGGTCAAAGGCTGATTGTCACCCTCCTCCTCAGGCATTCTGTGACTCCTGAGGCTTTCGAGGCTGCCTCCCAGGCTCCGTCTGTTCCCCACCACTCGCTTCTCTGTCCCCACTGGGAGTCGCAACTACTAGCACCCCTCAGCAGTGTTCCCGAGAGGGCCTCATGGAGTCCCAGCGCCCATGCCTGCAGGTCCCAGGTGTCCCCGCATTAAGTTCCTGCTGAGCATCCCAGGTGCACGCAAGGGTGACTGGGTTATTCCTCCCCCTGCCCGCCCTGCAACCTGCTTGCTGTTCGGAAAGAATGTGCTCTTGGACGCAGGTTTGGAAAATCACTGAGGTGGCCCCTTCCCCAGTCTTGCCTCATCAGCATGAGGCTAAATTAGGATGTGCGAGTTCTCCCCCCCTGCCTCCCACCCTTGCCTTCTCTCCCTCTCTCGTACCCGCCAGCCCACCCTCCCTGTCTCTGCCCCCTCTGCCCCCGGCCTCCCTCTGTCCTCATCTCTCTGTCCCTGTCTCTGTCTCCGCCTCCCCCCTCCCTGCCATCCTCTTAGTTCCCCCATGATCTCTCCCTCTCCTGCATCCCCCATCTCTGTGGGGAGCTGCAGCTCCTGGTCCTTAGCATAGAGAAGATGGTCGCCATGGTAACGGTTGTCATGTCGATGGCTACTGAGCTGGGGATGAATAGTATCTAGGTGAGCGCTACCTGAGTGGAGGCTGATGGGTTTGCAGGAGGCTCGATGCTTGTCTCTGATCAGAGCTGCACGGCAGGCCCTGCTCCCTCTGCCCCATGCATGTCGCTGTTTGTACCCACAGGCCTGCTGACACGATGAGCCTCTGTGGCTGCCTTTAGGTGAGCATGTGTCAGTGTGTGTCTATGCACGTGCTGTGTCTCTGGGGTGTGTCATTTCAAGGGTCTGTAGCTTAGGGGCAGGTCTTTGGGTTTGTGCAGGCTTTTCTTGGAGCATGCAGTTAGGGGCTAAGTAGCACTGGTCACGGAGGAATCTTGGGGACTCCCTTGTTTTGGCACCCACATTTACCTCAATTTGGGGCTTACAGAGACCACAGACCTCTTAGAATCCCTCCTCCCAGCTTAAGTGAAGACTGCCCGGCCTGCCTGGAAGGATAGAAAGATAGTGAAGACAGCCCCAGGCAGGGGCAGGAGCCGGAGCTGGGTCCCTGCTCGGTCCTATTCTTCTGAGTGACTCAGGCTGCTTGCCAGAGAGCTGGAGGGAGCAGGGACTCGCGGTTGGTTGGCTCAGGTTGTGGAGGGGAGTGGCATGGGGAGCTCTAGCTCCTCCACCCTGGGCATTTGTCTTTTTGGGAAGAGGGGAGCTGGGGGAAAGTTGGGCCCTACTGCTCGGAGCTCCTGGAACGTCTAAAAAGGAGGAAGACCCAGCAATTCGTCACGGGAGCAATTACACTAATTGTTCCACTCCATGACTCACTGGTAGAAAGTAAATACTGATTAATTCATTACTTCGAGACTATGTGTGTGTGTGCATTTGGTGAGGGGCACCTCCTGGCTGCCTGCCCTGGCTGGGCTGGGCAGGGCTCTGGAGCAGGGGGTTGAGACTGGGGATAGGAGATCCCCACTCTGGCTCTGTATCAACTCCAGAAGCGGGGGGGCGTCAGTGTCAAGGGGTGAGAGGCTGGTCTCCAAATGCAGTGCCGGTCCAGCTCCTCCCCTGCTCACACACACCCCAGGGCTCCCCACAGCCAGTCCAACATTGTAGATGCTTAGAGACCACCTCAGACCTACTCAACCACTGAGCTGGGTTTTCACAATATTCTGATAAGCAGTCAGGATGAAAAATGACCAGTTTCCAAGAGAAAGTCATCAGCCAGACACTGAAAGCCTTCTGGGATGGGGCCCCAGGTGACCTGCCCCTGCCCCACGCCTGCCCTGTGAATTATTCACACACATGCACTTTCCTTCCTGGTACACACAAGATCTCTGTCACCCACGTGGATATCACTCAGCCCACAAGGGCACCTGCCACCCCCTCGGCACACTCAGGCTGCCAGTCTGGGGTGTCGAGCCCTGTGTTCGCCTCTACCTTCCCCAGGCCCAGCGCTGGCGCAGTGAGAACTTTGAGAGGCCTGTGGACCTGGAGGGCTCTGGGGACGATGACTCCTTTCCCGATGATGAACTGGATGACCTCTACTCAGGGTCGGGCTCGGGCTGTAAGTACCCTCTCCCCACCCCTGCCTGGGGGCTGTGACCAGTCTGCATCCTGAGCCTACTCCGAGGAGCCCACAGGGGCTTGCTTCAGTGAGGCGGGGGCACGCTACTGTATGGGCAGGATCCCCAGAACAAGAAGGGCAGAACGTCCCCCTGGGGATAGAACAAGGCCTGGGAGGACCTCAGGGCCCCGGCCGCCCAGCTCTCCAGGGGCTCCTGTCTGCGTCTCTGTGTGTGCTGTGTGGCTCTCTCTGCAGACCTTGCTTGGTTCAGGTGGTCCCCTCAGGTCCAATAAGCTGTGGCCAATGGTGAGGTTAGGGCAGTGATGGCACAGGGCGGGCAGGGGCTTCAAGTGGTGCCAGGGATGGCCATGCCCTGGGGAAGAGGAGCCAGGCCAGGTGGGTCTAGCAGAGTCTCTGGAGGGAAGGGCACTGGGAGCCCACTCTGCCACATAGCAACTGTGCCCCTCGGTGCTCCCCTCCCTGAGTCCCTGGATTCTCACCTGTGGATGATGAGAAACACACGTTCCTCTCAGTGCCTCTAGAAGGGTTTGGAAGTGGGGATCTGGCACAGAGGAGAAGCTCTCAAAACGGTAGCAAAAAGAAGGCAGCTGAGATTGGGCCCAGTGAGGGCATGGACTGGCATCTGATGAGATGGTAGAGGATCTGCATGCCACGGAGCTGGCTCCCCATAGCCCTCGCCCCTGGTCTCCCCTCCTCAACCCAGTCCTTTGAGCCTCTTCCAAGTTAATCTTTGTAAAACCCATTTCTGTTGGGTTACATCTCCACTTGCAGAGCTCCCCGGCTCCCCTCCCTCCTGCCTGGTTCTGAGCCCAGCAGCTGGCTGTGGCTTCTCTCTCCCCCAGCCCCCACCCCTCTTATCTCATTTCCTCTCGGGTTCCTTCACTGTCCCGCTTTGCGTCAGCCAGATTACCCAAGCAGTTCCCTTGTAGCAAGGGCTTGTTCTCCCTCTTACCCTCTGCCTGTGCCTCTGGGGGAAGCCCTTAGTGTACCACCCCTTCCTTGAGCTCATGGTAGGGGTGACTTTGGGGTCTGACTCTTCCCAGAATGCCACTCCTGTGCTCCCCTGCAAGCCCTAGCAAGATTTGCAGCCAGTAGAGCTTCAGTTGCTCTGCCTAGATTCAACCTCACAGAAGTGTAGGCTGGGTGAGCAGGAATAGTCAAGATGGGCTTCCTGGAAGAGGTGGCCTCTAGAAGAATATTTGACTTGGCAGAGAGAAGTTGGGGAACATCAGCAACTGGCTACCTCTGGCCAGGCTGTGCCTTCCTCCTTTCTCTCATCTTTTCTGGGAAAATTGGGCAAAGAGAGGGGGTTGGGAGCCCTAATTTTTATGGCCATTGCTTACCTGGGATCCTCATGCCCCTCACAGCCACCCAGCTCCCTAGCTCTCTCCCTCTTCCCCACCCCCTCAGACTTCGAGCAGGAGTCGGGCATTGAGACAGCTATGCGCTTCAGCCCAGATGTGGCCCTGGCGGTGTCCACCACACCTGCAGTGCTGCCCACCACGAGCATCCAGCCCGTGGGCACACCATTCGAAGAGCTCCCCTCTGAGCGCCCCACCCCGGAGCCAGCCACCAGTCCCCTAGTGGCGACAGAAGTCCCAGAAGAGCCCAGCCAGAGAGCCACCACCATCTCCACCACCGTGGCTACCACTGCTGCCACAACCACAGGGGCCCTGACTGTGGCCACAGTGCCTGTCACAGTGGCCACCGCTGCCCCCAGCACCCCTGCAGCACCCCCTGTTACGGCCACCACTGCTGTTGTAAGGACCACCGGCGTACGGAGGCTTCTGCCTCTTCCACTGACCACAGCAGCCACGGCACGGGCCACTACCCCCGAGGCACCCTCTCCCCCCACCACGGTGGCTGTCTTGGACACCGAGGCACCAACACCCAGGCTGGTCAGCACAGCTACCTCCCGGCCAAGAGCCCTTCCCAGGCCAGCCACCACCCAGGAACCTGACAGCCCTGAGAGGAGCACCCTGCCCCTGGGGACCACTGCCCCTGGACCCACGGAGGTGGCTCAGGTGAGGGTGTTGGGAAGGGACAGGGAGGAGGGCAGGGGGGTGGGTCAGGGGAGGGGTGAGGAGAATGGAGCTGGGCAGGACTGAGGACCAGGAGGCTGTAGAGATGAGCCAGACAAGGTGGGGGTGAGGGGCAGGACCAACGGACAGATCAAATCGGGAGGGAAGAGGGACAGAGGTGATTGGATCCTAATGGGACAGGACATTGTTGGGGAAGGAATTGGGTGAGTGTGTGCAGTGGTGACAGGGAGGACCGGGCCATGTGTTCTGGTGGAGAGCATTAACTCAGCGGTCTGGCAGCTGGATTCAGATCCTTCTGCTGCCACTTCCTAGTCATGGGATCTCAGGCCGGTCCCTGATCCTTTCTGTACCTCTGCTTCCTCATCTATGGAAAGGAGAAAACAATAGAATGTATATCATTTCATTGTGAGCATGAAATCACCTGACATATCCACAGTGCTCCTGACACATCTAACAGCCCTGGTGATGGTAGACCCACTAGGTTCTCAGCTGCTGTCATCATCACGGTTGTTATCATTGGTTTGAGGGTGGTTGAAGCCGGGCATGTGAGAATGCGCCACTCTCCTGGCGGAGGGCTGCCTGGGTGTGGCTCAGTGCTCAGCCCACCCCTCGCTCGGGCTGTTAGCGTCAGGCCTCACGCCCACCCCTCGGGTGGCACTGTGGTCATCTCATTTTACAGATGAGGCAACTACTGGTGCACAGGGTGGGGAAGCCACTTCCCAAGGCTCTGCAGCTAGTGGTGACAGTCAGGATTTGAACCCAGGCAGTTGGCACCAGAGTCCGGCAGTCTCGCAGGGCCAGGGCTCCATGTGTGTGCGTTTGGGGTATGATGGATGGGGCGAGGGATTGATGGGAAGGGCATGAAGATGTTAGGGGTGCCAGGGATAGGTGGATGAATCCCAAGGACATGAGAGAGGTGGCCTGGTCCCTGCTGGGTGCACTGAGTCAGATGGAAAGGCAGTAACACGGCCTGGGTGCCAGAGCTCTCTGCAGCTGGCCTCACTGAGGAGGGTCCTTGGGCCATGGAGCTGCTTTGGAGTCAATGTGAGTCCCTTGGACTCCCCACCCAGCCCAGCAGGATGCAGGCCCTTCCCTCGCCTCCTCATGCAGCTGGGGAAGCCTGGTGTTTTCACACAGACTTGGCCAAGCAGGAAGGGGCAACAGTGACGCGGCACGGCGCTCAGGAGAAGGCGTAGCACAGGCCTGGCATGCAGGGAGTGCTAAGTGTTAGCCCCCAGGGCAGTAGGACGGCGGTGGGGGTTACGCACGCAAGTATGGTTGCCCTGTGGCAGGGGGTGCTGTGGCCTGACTCCTGGGCTCATGCCACCCTCTCTGCAGACCCCAACTCCGGAGACTTTCCTGACCACAACCCGGGCTGAGCCAGAGGTGCCGGTGAGTGGGGGGCCCAGCGGAGACTTTGAGCTATCGGAAGAAGAGACCACACAACCAGACACAGCCAATGAGGTGGTAGCTGTGGGAGGGGCTGCGGCCAAGCCGTCACCTCCACCTGGGACACTGCCCAAGGGTGCCCGCCCGGGCCCTGGCCTCCTGGACAATGCCATCGACTCGGGCAGCTCAGCTGCTCAGCTGCCTCAGAAGAGTATCCTGGAGCGGAAGGAGGTGCTCGTAGGTGAGGCTTGGGGTCTGGGCCAAGGGGAGCCTGGGAGGATCCCAGAGTGAGGCAGCTAGCTGGGCCTCAGTTTGCCTCTAGGAACCCAGAAGGGAGATCAGGGCGTGGCTTCCTAGGAGCCAATAGGAAGGAAAGCTGGGCACTCAACCCCCCAGGACCTGCCTTCTGGCTCCTCCCCTGACTTTCCTCCTTCCCAGTATCCAACCCTGACTTCACGTCCGTCTCTAGGTCTTTCCTCAGTGCTCTCTGACCCCTGCGTGGACTGTGACTTTGATCCCCGCTTTCCTGGGCTGCACTGGCTGACCCCTTGGGACCTTACTTCCTAGATGCTAATCTCTGACCCACCCTTCAGCTTGACCTTCCCCAGTTTTTGACCCCAGTGTCTGTGGACCTGCCCTGGCCGCATCTAGGGAGTCTCTGGACTCCTGGTCCAAATCCCGGCTTTGCACTCAGGCAAGGTACTTCACCTCCCCAGCCTGCCTTCCCTTCATCTGTAGGTTGGGGATAGTCGTTTTGCCCTTAATGAGTTCTAAGAGGCACATCTGTTCACATGTTAACTCTTCTGTAATTGGGGTATATCATATTTAGTTAGCAAACTTTTTTCTTTCCTGGCAGTTATAAAATATTGAGGCATCTTATGACTGATGGCATTTTAAATTTGATGAAGATCTCAAATGACCCCTCCCTGTTGGGGCTGGTGTGAGGGTTCAGCGAGTTAGTGTGTTAGGTGATCAGAATGCAGCCACTGAGGTCCTGTAAATGGCAGCCAGTGCTGGTAGTAGTAGCATTGACTCCGTCTTCACTCCAGCTCAGATCCAGGACCTCCAGCCCTCTCCTCACCCTGGCCCCCATCCCTGAGGACCCTCTGCCCTGGTTCTACCCTGCCTTTGGGCCTTGACCTCTGCCCTCTTCCTCCACAGCTGTGATTGTGGGCGGGGTGGTGGGCGCCCTCTTTGCCGCCTTCTTGGTCACACTGCTCATCTATCGCATGAAGAAAAAGGATGAGGGCAGCTACACACTGGAAGAACCCAAGCAGGCGAGCGTCACGTACCAGAAGCCTGACAAGCAGGAGGAGTTCTATGCCTAATGGAGCCACAGTGCCTCCCTGCAGCCTCAACACCGCCCGCCGTCCAGTCCCCAGCCTGGCCCCACCAGTCCAAGCCTGGGACTGGGCCTGGAGCCTGGCCCCCGTTCTTCTCTGCCCTCCCTCCCAAGGCCTGCCCAGGCTGCCAGCCTCACAGATCTTCCCCGAGGAACAGGGGCTGCTGCCATCACTCCAGACTGTGCCCTTACAAGCCCAACTCTTGTTCCCCTCATCCCTGCCACCAGTCTGGGGCTTCAGGACCTCACGTCAGTTGGAGGGGAGGAAGGAAGGTCCTGATTGACTGGTGGAAGAAAGGGCGGGGCTCGAGATGGGCCTGAGCCCCGGCTTGGCCCCCACAGGGCTCACTGAGATCTCCTTTTTGGGGCAGAAAGGGACTCAGGCTGGTTTCCAGGACAAAAATTCGTTTGTCCCTGAAATCATCTAGACACTGCAACCTCTTGCATCTATCCCATGGCCTCTCTCTGCCTGGGTGAGAGGGTGTCCCTTGTCACCAGCCTGTTTTGTCCCATCTTTCTGGGGTTGTTGAGTCTCTCTTCTTGCCTGCCAAGTACACATGCACCCCAGACTTCATTTCTTCCTGCATCTTCCCCTAAGGAACCGCTTCCTGAGAGTGCCGGGGCAGCCGCTGGTGAGGAGAGGCTGCTCTGATGCCTCTCCCATGAGGGGACTCTGCACAGACACCATTGCCCACACTGTCACACACATTTTCATGCAGTCACACACCAGACATAGCATGCAATGACAAAACCAGACACAATCCTGACTGCCCAGCCAATCGAGACATATCACAGAACACACACATCCCTCCAAGAATGCTACTCTCTTGCGTCACTTACACACCCCCAGACACTAAGTACAATGCACGTCACTAGTCATGGTCCCGTGACAGTGACAGTGTGGCCTCCTCCTGCCCCCAGTACACCCACACTCTGGTACCACACACATTGTCTCCTGCTTTCAGGCTCACTGGGGGAGGGTGGAATTGAGCCAGAACAGTCAGCCCATATTGGGTCCCCTGGAGTTGCCCCACCATACTCAGTCCCATGCCATGGTGCCCACACCAACCATGTGGCCACCAACCCCAGCCGGTGTCAGACACAATCCCATGTGGATGCACAATCTCACGCCACATGACCTGCTCTCAGTGCTGGAGGGAAACAGGCCCTTGCCTTTCCTGGAAAAAGTGTGGGGCCACAGCCCTTTCAGGGCATTGCATGCAGGGGGGCCTGGCCTCAACCCTACCTGCTTCCTCCCCACGGCAGCTGGCAAAGGGGGAGGTTTGGGGCCACCCCTGCCACTGGCTGGGAGCCTGGGGGCTCCTCTAAGGCTGAGGAAGGAAATTTGACCCCAGGCTGTGAGGGGCTCTTGGGTCTCCCAGGACAGAAGACCCAGGGCAGGGAGGGGGCATGTGGATGGGCTCCTTCATTTCCCTGTGACCCCTTCTTGCTCTGAGCTAGGGGGCTGACTCTGCCTCCCAGGACACAAGTCTCCAAAGTGCCTGTGAGGGCGGGCCCTTCGCACTCTCTGCCCTCTGCCTGGCCAGGCCAGCCTCAGCCCACCTGCCCAGGGGCCCTCCCTGTGGACATCCCCTCACCTATTTGGCCAAACATTTCTGGCTGCAGCTTCAGGGGCCATGGCTGGAAGCAGCCGCAGGCCAAGGGCAGGGTTTGAGGGATGAGACTAGGTAACAGTGGGGGAGGTGTTACCTCCTTTGTTACCTAGCAAGTAGGACTATTTCCATCGGTACTTTAAGTGTGGGGTCACAGATCTTTAGGGGAGGGTGTACTTGGCAGGGGGCCTCCTGGAGCCAAAAGGATAGATGTGAGTTGTGATTGGCTGGCGCTCACACCCCCACCCCTCACCCACAACCCAGATTCAAGTCAGGAAGGCAGGTTGTATTTCAGGGCCCTTTTCAAGATGCCCTGGCAGCAGATTTCTGCAGGGTGCGGGGTAGCAGCGTGTAGGCAGTGAGGGTGAGGTTCTGGGGGCTGTCCCACAGCCTGTCCGTTCCAGGCTGGACTCCATCTTCAAGTCCCAAAACCCTCCTTCGCAGGGCCCAGAGGCTTGTGAGGAAGCCAGGTGGACCCAGCCTTAGAAGAGTGGGCATGGGGGGCCCCCGAGATCTGGAGGAGGTGGGTTGGCCTCAGTCATCTTTGGAGCAGAAGGGCTGGGTCCTAGGAGCGGAGACCACAAGGCTGTCTCCCCACCCTACTCCCTGGGGTGCTGCTGCCTTGGGAACTACGGCTCTGGTGAGATGGCCTGGGCAGGCCGAGGCTGAGAAACCAGGGAGGAGAAAGGAGAAAGGGCTTAGGCCTCCAGCCGCAGAAGATGCTGGCCCCTGGGCGGGAGACTCAGCAGGGAGTGCAGCTTCTGAGTAGGGCTGGAGCCTGTGGGGGGGCGGCCCCAATCGGCCTGGTTCCCAGGGGTTGGCTTCTGATTTGGGGCTTGAGCCCCTGGCGCTGGCCTCTCTTCTCTGTCCTTAGCATCTGAGAGAAGAGGCCAGGGGCCTTGTTCATGGAGCCCCGGACCCAAGGCAGATGTCCAGGCTTCATCCTTGTGAGCTTGAAGAGTCTGACCAGCCCAAATCTGCCCTGGCCAGCCTGACCGAGGCAAGGCAGTCCGAGAGTTCAGTGAGGACAAGCTGGGGTTCTCCGAGGTGCAGTGTGGGTGCAGGGCCCTCATGTGCCCCTGCCCCCACCTGTGATAGGGTGTCCGAGGGGCTTTGGCATTTGCTGGAAGCACAGCGAGTTCCAAATGAGAGGGAGCTTGTGTGGCTTGAGAGCCTCTGGGGCCCTGGCTGCCGGAACACCTTGAGAGCCCAGACCCTGTCTCCAGGGGGCCAGACGGGGGCCTCGCCTGAAAAGCTGGTCCCCTTGATCTCTGGAGGTATGTGGGTGGCAGCCAGGGCTGGGCAGGGCTTAGGCCTCCAGGTGGGGGCCCTTGGATGCAGGGAGAACCTCAGCCTCACGGGGAGGAGCGGCTGCCTCCCGGGCTCTCTGAATTTCTTCTTCCAATAACTGCAGCCCTGGACTTGCCTCCTCAGGCCTCCTGCCTGTAAATAGAGGCCCACAAACTGTACAGATTTACAGAGGCATCAAGACTGGCCCCGGGAGTCGCCATCTGAGGGCCAGTGGCCCCAGCATCCCCCGGGTGCCTGCCTGGCACCGCAGTGCCCCTGGCCTCAGCGTGGTGAATGCATGTAAATATTTTTCGTAGGCGGCGTGGCTCCAGAGAGCCCCCTGAAGACAGTGTCCCTCCCTCTGGTGAGTCCTCTCCTGTACAGAACTGGCCTGGGGTGTGTGCGGGTCTGCGTCCCCTCCCCCAGGCCTTCCCTGTCCCTTCTCTCCCCTGTAACCTGTTTATTAACCATGCCTGTCCTGAGTTCATGGCCAAAACCTTAAATAAGGAAAACAAGACAGTGGAAAAAGAGACCAGGGCACCTGCCCCGCCGCGGGGACTCACCTGAACCAGCCTTGTGAAGGAACTGGCTTTTTTGTTTTTGTTTTTGTTTTTTAACACTTCCCGTGCTGTGCCCATTTATAAGAGGAAATAAAATTAAGCTGAAATAATGTGCCGTGTCCAGAGTATAAGATAAATATGGTCATTTGGGGAGGGCCGCCCGTGGTCGCACCCTGGGCCCCAGACACCTTCCCCCGTCAAAGAAATTGAGAACCAAGCAGGGAAAATTGACTAACAGCTTCTCGTGGGAACCATTATGGTCAAAGCTGCTGATGGTTGAGCGTGTCCAGGAAACCACGGAGCTGCTGCGGTGAGGCTGGGGTGGGGCTGCGGTTGGGAGGGGCCAGGCAGTGGTGACAGGGGCCTGTGGTTCACCCCCAGGGGAAGAACTCTGGCTTTAGGCCACAAATAAAAAATCTTGGGACCACAGGATACCAGAGTCAGAGTAGCCAAGACAGAGACCCAAGGCCCAGGACCTCACTGTGGGACCTCAGACAGCTTGACACCTCAGTGCCTCAGTTTGCACAGCTATAAAGTGGGGTGAAGGGGCCAGATGCCGCTGGGAGGTCCTCATAGAGGAAGGAGCCAGTGAGACCCTGCTGTGATGTGGGGGTTGGATTACCTAGATTCAAAGCCAGGCATGCATGGCTGTTCATGCAGGACCTTCAGAGGGCCACGCCCCGTCTTCTGAATGCCGTCAGCCTCCCACCCTGCTCCCCGTCTCGAGTTCCAGTGATGTGATTTTATTTTCAGCTTGGAGGAGTAGAAGGAGCACGGTCTTGAAGCCAAGCAGACCCTTTGCTCTACTTCTCTGAGCTTTGGTTTCCTTGAAGGCAAATGGGGACAATATGGTTGGTATTTGGAGGCATGAAGCATGGCAAATATGCCCATCTGCAGCTGGATTTATATTCTTCTCTTTGCAGCACCTGCCTCGTACCAGGCAAACCTTTATCCAAATCCTAGCTCTGTCAGTGACTAGCTATGTGACCTTGGGTAAGTGATTCAAACTCAGTGCTCAGTTTCCTCACCTGTAAAATGGGGGCAATACTCGTAGTGGCCTCATATGCATAGTGCTTAGAGCTGTGGCAGGCGTGGAGTAGGTGCCGTACAAACGCGGGCGATTATTACTGCTCTTGTTGCTATTGTTATCACTGTGATTTGCAGGGCCCAGCACAGTGCCTACGGATTGAATCAGTGACACTGAGCTGGGGTAGCAATCAGACTATCAGGGCCAGCTCTAGTGTGAACTATGACTGAGGGGTAGGCTTGTTACAGCGAAGGGCAGAGCCTGGAAACCATGCATTCGGGTGCAGATGGGCTGGGCGCTGCTGGGAGTTGGAGCATTTCCCTCTGGGCCCCCTCACCCAAGATATGAGCAATAAAACCAAGAGGGAAGGAGGAAGAATAGCTGATTGTTTCCTGCAGCCCAAGAGTCACAGCCACCCGGCCCAAGCTGCCCTGAGAACAGAGTGTGCTCAGCTTCCAGGGCCACCCACCCTGCCTCTGCTGGCCTGAGGTGGGGCTCAGGGCCGAAGAGGATCCAGGTTTATCACCACCAGATAACCAGTAGGGATGAGAGAGGGCAGACAGCTAAAGGAATGGGGTGAGGCACTATGCCAGGTACCGCGTATTATGTTAGCTCATTTAAGCCCCAGGTCTGGGCTCTTGGCCTGTTTTTGCAAATGAAGTAACTGAGGCTCAAACAGCAGAATCCCAAAGCCCTAGAGCAATTGGAAGGTGCAGTGGGATTCTGCTGTCTCCTCCTTGCCATGAGCTAGCTGTGAGGATGGGCAGGTTGCTAAGCTTCTCTGAATCTCAATCATATCATCAGAACAACAGGAGCTCTTGGTGTTACTGAAAGGCTCTAATGATGCATTAACACATGACATTTGTGGGTTGCCTTCCAATTATCACCATTCATTCATAGACATTAATTATTGGGGAGAATTTTTGCCCCTCTTTTATCATAAACAATGTGTTTATGATAAATACATTGGCCCTATCAGCAAAATCCACACTGTAGGACACTACAGGAAAAATGATCCAGTTCTTTCAACAAATAAATTATAAGGAAGACAAAAAAAGAGAACGAGACGGAGAATTTATAGATAAGCTTAAATTACATGTTAACTAATCAATATGGGAACCTGATTCAGATTCTGATTCAAACAGATTATATTTTTTAAATGCCCCAGTTGGCTGGGTGCGGTGGGTCACACCTGTAATCCCAGCACTTTGAGAGTTCGAGGCAGGCCGATCACCTGGGGTCGGGAGTTTGAGACCAGCCTGACCAACATGGAGAAACCTCGTCTCTACTAAAAATACAAAATTAGCCTGGTGTGGTGGTGCATGCCTGTAATCCCGACTACTCAGGAGGCTGAGGCAGGATAATTGCTTGAACTCAGGAGGCAGAGGTTGCAGTGAGCCGAGATCGTTCCATTTTACTCCAGCCTGGGCAACAAGAGCAAAACTCTGTCTCAAAAATCAATAAAATAAAATGCCGTAGTTATGACCTAGGAAGAACTTGCCCTGGCTAATGGTGAATGACACCTGTATGCTCCCAAACCCATGCCCATTCCTTACTGCATGCCAGTAAGACTCTTTTCAATATTCCCAGCAAGACAAGATAAAGGTCTAGACTTGGCTTTGGCCAAATGGAGGCAAGTGGAAATTGAACACTGAGTGAATGAGTAAAAACTGTATATATGTGTATATATACACACACATACACATGTATATGTATATACAGACTGAAATATTTTATACACATATGTATATATGTGTGTATGTATTTTTAATACGTGTATACATATATGTGTATATGTGTATGTATGTATATATTTTTTGAGACAGGGTCTCATTCCGTCACCCAGGCGGGAGTGCAGTTGTGTGATCATGGCTGACGGCAGCCCCGAGCTCCCCAGGCTCAGGTGATCCTCCCACCTCAGTCTCCCAAGTAGCTGGGACTACAGGTACTCACCACCACGTCCGACCAATTTTTGTATTTTTTGTAGAGACAAAGTTTTGCCACGTTGTCCAGGCTGGTCTCACACTCCTGGGCTCAAGCAACCGAGTGAATATTTGTTATTAAGGATTCATTGTCAATGCTCTTAGATGTGATAATGACCCTGTAGTTATGTTTTTAAAATGCGTCCTTACCTTTTAGAGATACAGGCTGAAATATTTGTAGATGAAGTGACAGGGTATCTGGAATTGGCTTCGAAATAACATGGGGAGGAGTGGGTGAGGGAACAGAAGAAGTAAGATGGGGCTTGAGTTGATCATTATCAACGTGAGTGATGGGCATGTAGGGGCTTCGTTCTATTATTCTGTCTACTCTGAGTTTACATTTGAAATTCTCCATAATAACGCGCTTTAAAACAGAAGAAGCCAATTCCTGGAGGGGCACGGGGAACTGCCTGAGGTTGCAGCCCCAGGAAATGGAGAGCTGGGCGCCCTGCTGCAAGCCTAGGCCCCGGGCCGCTCCCCCAGCCCCTGCCTGGGAACTCCTGCCGCGTCCTGCTTTCCTCGGCTTTGTGTCATCCACTTCCAGGTAGTCAGTGCCTTCATGGGCCCCGTTCCCTCTCCTTTTATGAAAACTGACTTCCATGAGTGGCTCTGTTGAAATAATTTGCATGAAATTGTCATGACTGACGTGGCTTCAGCTGTTTCCCTCCTCCAGAGGTGTTCATTCATTGCCAGAGAAAGCAGCAAAAGCAGCCCTTCCCAAGTGAGCCATGTGTTTTGCTCACGAAGCACTGTCCAGGAAGTCCTTGGCCTCACTTGCCATTCATTTACATCAGTCCTGGGAGATGGGCTGGCTGGGGATTACGCCTCCCACTTTGAAGGACATTAGATTTGTTCATCACCATCCCCTACCCTCAGTGCCTGCCCCTGTCCATTTTCAAGGCTCTGACCAAGTCTAGACCTTTATCTTGCCTTGCTGGGAATATTGAAAAAGAGTCCTACCGGCATGCTGTAAGGAAAGGGCATGACTTTGGGAGCAAACAGGTGTCATTCACCGTTAATCAGGGCAAGTTCTTCCTAGGTCATCCTGGGGAAGCCCCTTCACCTACCCTCTACCTCCCGGGCCTTGGCTTCCTCCTCTGTGTCATGGGCACGGTGATGATGGCTGCAGAAAAGATTTGTGGGGACCCAAAAAGTGGGCAGATCTAAGTGTCCAGCACCATGACTGACACGCAGCAGGGGCACAACACTAAAAATGAAGATACGAAAGATACTGCAATACAGTCATGCGTCACGTAATGATGGGGATGCGTCATTAGACGATTTCACCTGTGTGCATCGTAGTGCCCTTAAACAAACCTAGGTGGGATAGCCTGCTGCACACCTAGGCTCTGCGGTGCAGACCATTGCTCCTAGGTTGCAAAGCTGCACGGCATGCTACTTTACTGAATGCTGTGGCAAATGTAGCACAGTGGCAAGTATTTATGCATCTCAACATATCCAAACATAGAAAAAGTGCCGGAGGCTGGGCACAGGGGCTTATGCCTGTAATCCCAGCACTTTGGAAGGCTGAGTCAGGAGAATTGCTTGAGGCCAGGAGTTTGAGACCAGCCTGGGCAATATAGTGAGCCTCTAAATAAAAATAACACTTTAAAAAGTTAGCTGTGTGTGGTGGTATAGTCCTGTAGTCCCAGCAACTCAGGAGGCTGAGGCAAAAGAATTGGAACCCGTGGGGTGGAGGTTGCAGTGACCCGAGATCTTATCACTGCACTCCAGGCTGGGTGACAGAATGAGACTTCATCTCAAACAAACAAACAAACAAA